TGGATAGGGGGGAGGGCCGCGCCCGATTGGAGCGTCCAAGACGGCCTCGGCGAGAAGGCACACATCACTGATGCTACGTAGGTTTCGGGCACATGTTGGCCTCTTTGGGGGGGGGGCTAATATGGCACCTCCCCCTTCTTTGATCGATCTCCTCCAAGATGGCCCCAAGATGGACCCCAAGTCTCCCAAGGTTGCCCCAAGACGGCCCTAAGAGGGCCCCGAGAGGCGCCCAGGAGACCCCCAAAGGCTCACAAGAGAGCCCCACGAGGCCCCAAGAAGCTCACCCGAGGCACCCAAGACGCTCCACGAGGCCTCATGGACCGCCAAGGGGCCCCCAAGACGCCCCAGTAGGACCCCAAGGAACTCTCAAGAGACATCCGAAGAATCTCCGAGAGCCTGCAAGACGCCCCCTGGACTTTCTGCTCGCCCTCCTCCGCCCCTCTTCCTTATCAATAACTCCTCCCTGTCGCACCCCGAGGCCAGTCGAAAGGGCGGGCCCCGCGTTTCGCCTGAGACTCCCTCACCACTCGTGATCCTGAAGCTTTACATGTGCAAGAGCTTCACGGATGAAGGACGGTCCACTTTCAAAATATGACTCTCGCCGTAGCGCCGCGCACATTCGCCTTAAACAATTGCGAATGTTTCACGGATGGAGGGCGGTCCGCTTTCCAACTGTGGCTCTCGCCTTAGCACCGCGCACTCTCTAAACATTTGCAATCACTTCACGGATAGAGGGTGGCCCGCTTTCAAAATATGGCTCTCGCCGTAGCGCCGCGCACATTAGTCTTAAACCATTGCAAGAGTTTCTCGGATGGAATGCGATCCCTTTTGAAATGTGGCTCTCGCCTAAGCGCTGCGCGCATTCTGAAGAGCTTGCAGCATTTTCAAAGGTTCTCATGGTTGATGTCCACAGATGGTATTTTGGCACGATGTCGAGATATCAGGGCGCCGCAGTCACGCTGATTCGCGGTGTTCAAGTCCAAGGAATGGCGTTCTGGCGCAACTCGCGATCATCAAGACGCAATAGTAATGGTGATTCGCGGCGTCACAGTCCCATTAATTGTGTTCTGGCACAGTTCCAGATTTCCAAAGGTTGTCTTCCAACGGGGCAAATCCCTCATTGAAAATAAACCCTTGTATGTGGCCTCTGAAGAGTGACCTCGGAGGGAGGGGCTATTGCAATACCGTTGATGAGTCTTGGGTTTACTCCTCCTCCTCCTCCTCCTGCTGCTGCTCCTCCTTCTCCTCCTTCTCCTCATCCGCCTGTTCCTCCTCCTCCTCCTCCTCCTCCTCCTCCTCATCCCTCATCCCTCCTCACTCCTCCCCCACCCCCTCCCCCTCCCCCCCTCCTCCTCCTCCTCCTCCTCCTCCTCCTCCTCCTCCTCCTCCTCCTCCTCCGCCGATTCCTCCTCCATCTTCCCCCTCTTGGGGTACGGCGGCTTCACTAGCCCTCTATTCCACTGCATGCTCCTTCACATCCCTGATCAGGGCAACTCGCCTGGGCATCGTCTCTGGATGGGCTGGTGAGGTTACTTTTTTGGTCGCGGCTCCAAGGAAATGCCCAGGGAGCGGTCACAACGTCCGGGGCGCGGTACATTGTAAATTTGCGAATCCAGCCGTCACTGTCGACAGCCGACCGCACCTGCAAGCATGCTCGCAGTTGCACATGCACAGCACAAGCTGGTGAGGTTACGCGAAGCGTCTAGAATAGATATTGCACAGGCAAACCTCAACTGTGCCCGAGGCTTTGAAAAAATTACTTAACACAAACGAGATGGAAGGATGATGAAGAGGCGGAAGACGATGAAGACAACGACATGGACGACAACGTGGACGACGGACCAACGACCACGACGACAGACGACCGACGACCGACGACGATGACGACGACGACGGCAGCGACGACGACAGCGACGACGACGACGATTACAACGATTACGACGACGACAACGACGACGACGACCACGACGACGACGACGACGACGACGACGACCACGACGACGACGACGACGACGACGTAAGCCGAGGAGGAGCGCACGTCTACTTGGAGGAGGAGGAGGAGGAGGAGGAGGAGGAGGACGAGGAGGAGGAGGAGGAGGAGGACGCGGAGGAGGAGGAGGAGGAGGCCCCGAGCACCAACAGCCACACGGAACAACACCACGGGCCCGGCTCGCCGACCAGCTCGGCGGGGGTCGCCGGGGCGACGGTCACGGGCGCCGAGCAGACGACGGGCTGGCGCTGGTGCCTGCAGGGCAGGGCCGACCCAAAGGGGCGGCCGAGGTCGGCCCTCTGCTCCCCTCCTCCTCGCCGGCCCCCCTCGCTCCCCATCCCCTCCTCCCTCCCCCCCTCCTCCCCCAGCTCCTGTCCCCGCCCCCCTCTCCTCGTTTCTCCGCTCGCTCCACACCTCACTCTCCTCCTCCTACTTCCCCTCCTCCTCCTGACACTGCATGTCTCACGCCCCATTCCTGTTCCTTCTGAATAACTTCCCCCTGTCTCACCCCGAGGCCAGTTTCTCAGGGCGGTCCGGACGTTTCGCCTGAGACGTCCTCGCCTTTTATGACCCTGAAGCTTTAACATTGACAACAGCTTCACGGATGGAGGGCGGTTGGTCTTCAAAATGTGGCTCTCGCCTTAGCGCCGCGCACATTCGTTGAACACAAATTGCAAGAGCTTCACGGATTGAGGGCGGTTCCTTTTCAGAATGTGGTTCTCGCCGTAGCGCCGCGCACATTCGATTTCAAATTTGCAAGAGCTTCGCGGATTGAGGGCGGTTCCTTTTCAAACTGTGGCTCTCGCCTTAGCGCCGCGCACGTTCGTTTAAAACATGCAAAAGTTTGACGGATTGAGGGCGGTCTTTTCAAAATGTGGTTCTCGCCTTAGCGCCACGCACATTCGCTTTAAACAGATGCATGGATCTCACGGATTCCCATGAACAGAGTATCAGAAGTGGTTCTTGAAAGGATTCATGATTATGAGGACGCAACAATTACGTTGATTCGCGGTATTGAAATCCCAAAAATGGCGTTCTGGCACGATTCAGGATCGTCAAGACGCAGCAGTCAGGTTGATCCGTGGCGTTGGAAATCCGAGAACTATGTTTTGGCATGCGTCAGGGTCTTCAAACGGTTGTCTTCCAACGAGGCAGTTCCCTCAGTGGAAATTTCTGAGGTTTACGCTGGTCCTACTCCTCCTCCTCGTCCTCGTCCTCCTCGTCCTCCTTCTCCTCCTCCTCCTCTGCTGCTGCTGCTCCCCCATCCTCTCCCTCCTCATCCTCCTGTTTCTACGTCTGCTGCCCCCCCCCCCCCCACACGCATCCGTCTGTTCCCATCTCCCCTCTCTTTCTTCTCCTGTTCTCCTCTTCCTAATGTTTAGCATAGTCGTCCTCCGTTATCTTCTTCCCCCCCATCCACTTCCCCTGCCCTTTTAACATCCTCCGCCTCCTCTTTCTCCTACTGCTACTCCTCGTCTTCCTCCTCGTCTTCCTCCTCGTCCTCCTCCTCCTCCTCCTCCTCATCATCATCATCGTCCTTGTCCTCCTCCCCATGCTCCTCCTCCTCCTCCTCCTCCTCCTCCCCGTCCTCTTCATATCCTCCTCATACCCACATTCTTTTCCACCCCCTCCTCATCCTCCCCCACCACCTCCCTTGCCTCCGTCCCTAGCGCCCTCCCACTCCTTCTTACTATGCTCCTTCTCCCCCTCGTCCTCTCGATGTCCTCCCCTCCCCATCCTCCTTCCCCTACTTCTCCACTTATCGTCCTTGTCTCCTCCTCCTTCTCCTCCTCCTCCTCCTCCTCCTCCCCCTCCTCCTCTTCAGCCTTTCCTTAGCCGTTATGGTTCAGGCTGTCTCAGCCTGCGCTTGCACCAGCATGCTCCTTCAGAACGGCCTTGTGCCATTGCGAGCCAACCTGGCTCATTCCTCTTTAACTGTTAGTGAGCTCCTAGAAGATCGTCTGTCACCACGATTCGTGAGGAGTCATGGCGGGCAAGGGCTTCAACACGAGCAAGTCAGGTGGCGGCAAATGGAGCTATGGTTTCGACTGCGCGCCCTGGGTGCAGGATGTGAACAGTCCTTCCTCTCAAGCTTGGCCTTCCATGAAGCCTGGTCTTCAATCTAACCAGCTTCTGATCCATTCTGTTCAGCGCTGGGAGTGTCCGCAATGCGGGTGCCGTCGGAACGCCTCTTGGTTCACATGGTGCAAGCACTGTGGTGGGTCTCGCCCTCCCACGATTGGAAGTGCGTGGCACTCCAGCCCAAACAAGGGCGCTGCCAAAGTTTCGTCGCCTGCCGCTTTGCATGCTACTGCGGGGACCAAGCCTACCGTCCCAGCAGCGGGTGCTCCGAGGCTGTCGGCGGAAGAGTATCTGCAGATAGCGGCCCTCTGTGACAAGATGGGTGATGCGACGCAGGCGAAGCAATACCGCAGGGCCGCCAATGCACTCACTGCTTCGACACGCGAGAGCTTGCAAGCGCATCTGTCCAAAGCTCACTCCAAGGTCAGGTCCGCGGAGAAATTGGAGGCTGCGGTCCGCAAGACCGAGACAATGCAGCAGCAACTGGAGGCGCAGCGAGCCCATGTGGGCGCCTTGTGTGATGAGCTCGAGCAAGCAGAGTCCGAGCACGGCGAGCTGGTCCGCAAGCTGCACAATCAATTTCCCGCGAACGAACAGCCTGTTGCGTCCAAACCCGTGCTCTCTACTGGGAATATCCTTGACGCCGACAAGCTGTCCAACCCGCTCGACCTGTCGGCGAATGACATGTTCAAGATCGACGAGCTGGAGTACGAACTCACGCCTGAGGACACGCAAGAGTGGGAATCTCGTGCCAGCAAGTTACGCGAGGGCATCGTCTCGCTGGCCGCCAGCATGTTCAAGGACTCCAAAACCAAGGTGGACTCACTTCGCGCTGATCACGGGGTTCACCTCAAGAGGCTCGCGGCGAAGCGCAGGTGGTGCGACCAGAATGCCGACGGTGGGGGACCTGATGGGGCGGCGGCTGCGGCTGATACGCTTCCAGCAGGCACGGACCGTCCCAATGGCGAGACTGGTGACAGCGAGTTGCATGAGGGAAACCGTAGCATTCGTGATCGAGCCGCTGGCACTGCCAAGTCTCACACCACCCCCCCTGGGAGCCCTGGCAGGCTCGCTTGAGGAAGCCTTCAAGGCCTTTCCCGCGGCTGTCCGTTTGGGGAACCTCGCTGGCCTAGATTCGGAGGAGGAGGAGGAGGAGGGGGAGGAGGAGGAGGAGCAGGGAGGAGGAGGAGGAGGAGGAGGAGGAGGAGGAGGAGGAGGGGGAGGAGGAGGAGGAGAGGGAGGCGGAGGAGGGGATGGAGGAGGAGGAGGAGGAGGTAGTGAAGGAGAGGAGGAAGGAGCGGCGTTGGAAACTTCCACGTGTGGGGGTTTCCTAAGTTTTTGCTTCCTCGCCGTGGTGCGTTTCGGCCTTCTCCACCGCACCACTCCCACCTCCCCCGCTGGCCCAGATTCGGCTCTGGAGCCGCAGGGGGGGCCAAACGTCTCGGTCGGCAGAATGAGGGAACAGACAGACAGACAGGAAATGATGTGTAGCCTCGAGAGATTGCACCGTCACGATGTTTTTGGGCCCTTTCGGGAGACTCTCCATGGGGGGGGATCCCATGGGGGGATAGGATCCCAGGGCGGGGGATCCCATAGGATCCCCTGGGGATGCCATGGGGGGCAGGAGGGGATCCCATGGGGGGGATCCCCTCCTGCCCCCCCATGGGATCCCCCCCCATGGAGAGTCTCCCGACCCTTCTGGTCCAATTGCGGGTGCCGGTTACGGGAGTGAGATCGCGGGGGCCTCGGATCGGGACCTCCCCCAAGACTCGTCGGCACGGCTCGTGTCTCTTCGAAGCTGCGTTCGCTCGCTGCTGCGGCCATCCTCGAGGATGGCCTCTGCTGGCGCATGGCTTGCCCCCCATTGTGAGATGGTCGAAGGAGATGTGGTTGGCCCCGACGGCCGCTTACAAATGGTCGCGTAAGCTTCCTAGGCTCAAGCGTGCGTGGTCGGCCGTCTTTGCCCCAGTGGCCTGATCCTGGCGCGCCGTCTCTGAGCCTATTTCAGCCATGCGCACGTCGATTTCCAGGATACGTCGGGTGATGACGGATTCCATTACCCTTCGCGATGATCGTGGTTGCTCGATTCCCTGGGGCACCCCCCCCTCCTCAGTGGCAAGTTGTGTGGTGAGGCCGACATGGGAATGTGGGAGAGGGAGTCGGCTGCCAATAGAGGGGTCAAGCATCGCACCTGCTATGACAGTATCAAGGGAGCGCTGGCTAGCAAAACGTTCACCCCTCGAGAAAGGTGGGATTCGCTCCTTTACCACTGGGGGCGTCCCCGCTCGTGGGTGCGCGCTCAGGCTGGGGTGCCAGGTCGACGTTGCTTGCCCTCACTGCGGGCAGCCAGACACTGTTGTGTTGTTTCCGTCGCTTGCGGACCTGCACTCTTGCTGATGCTGCGCAGGTCAGAGAGTCGGAGGTGAAGCAAGAAGACATTCAAGCGGCCTTGGAGGCGGCGGCGGCGTCTGGTGGTGACCTCTTCCCCGTTTCGTCTGGAGCTTTCGCGCATCCCGCCGACTCGTACCCTAAGCCCTGCACGGAGGCAGACGAGGGTCCGATGGTCCACTGGCATGTTCAAGACCTGGTTTCGCCGTCTGGAGAACCCCCTACCAAATTGCTGTGGGGTTCGTCATTCATTGATGTGTCGTGTTCGGGACATCCCATCCGTGAGCTTGGCAGAGCTGGTTCGTGTATAGCTATGGTCAGTGACCCTGGGTCGCTTCTAGCCGAGCTTCGAGGCCCACGTTTGGGCCCCGTGCCCGCAGACGCCTCAGAATGCGGAGTTTTCTGCCTACACCTGGTCTCACCTCCGTGCTGTCCCCCAGCACCCCACAGCCGTTTCGGACTGTGCCGACGTGGTCCATCAGGCGGCGTTGCCTAGTAATGAGATGCTCTCTGGCAAGCGCATGGATTCGGGAGCTTGCTTGCAGCGTGTTTCTTCTTTCGCCTCGCTGATTCCTTTTGCGGAGGCTTCTGCCCACAAGGATGCCGAGGGAGCTGGTCTGGACAGCCTCGAGCGTTGGAGGAGAGTGGGGAACGCGCATGCGGATGGTGGCGCGGAACATGCAGTGAACCGCCACCTCTCGGATCGAGACCAGCCCGATGCCATCGGCAAGCTGGTCTGCATTGCACCCTGGCTTTTTGGGACCCGCTGGACCTGTTTCTGGTTGCTCTTGACAAAGCGTCCCCTGTGCAGCCAGGACCCTCCCGCAGGTGGCGGCAGTGGGCAGGCGGTTGGAGATGTGAAGTATGCCTGAAGGGCAAACACTCGGAATGGCGGTGCCCTGGCACAAGCAAGTTGCACTCCAGCAGACTTGATGATGCACCAGGGCACCGAGTCGTTGTTTTTGACTGCGAAGATGGCACTATCTTTTCATTCGTGTGAAGTGCGATTGCCACTTCAGTGGGGCCAATGTCCGTGGTCTCGCGTCGCCCTGTGCAGCTCCGACGCGGGCGACGAGGAAGGGCTGGCTCACGTTGTGCAAGCACAGCAGGCACAGTGCTCACCCCCATTGCAGCAAAAAGGGAGTGAACGTGAACACTGACGGCTTGATTCAGTGCTTCAACTCTCGATTTTGCGTTACCGCCAGCTGCAGTTCTTTGGTGGAGAAGGGCCGTAGAGTCACCCAACAAAAATCCTCAGCCTTTCCTGCGTCTCGTTCTCCTCCTTCCCCTTTCCCGTTCTTGATGTTCCACGCCTGCGCGCGACCACGTTATCCACGCATATTCAACCCCTGTGCAACAAACAGCTGGGTCTGTTTACCGCTGCACCCCGCTGAGTCTGCCAGGAACCCACGAAAATGGCGACACTTCCGCATTGCGCAGCCCCCCTGGTGACCCGCGGGGCCTCGGCTGGGTCTGTTTACCACTCCACTCCGCTGAGCCTCCCAAGGGCCGACGGAAAAAAACGACAATTGCGCACTTCGCAGCCCCTCAATGACCCGCGACGTCGCGACTGTATCTGTTCACCGCTCCACTCCGCTGAGCTTCCCAAGAACCCACGACAATGGCGACAATGGCGCACTGCGCAGCCCCCTAGTGACTCGCAAGGTCTCGGCTGGGTCTGTCTACCACTCCACTCCACTGAGCCTCCCAGGAGCCCACGAAAATGGCGACAATTGCGCACTGCGCAGCCCCCAATGACCAGCGAGGCCTCGCCTGGGTCTGTTTACCACTCCACTCCGCTGAGCCTCCCTGGAGCCCACGAACGCGGCGACACTTGCACAATCCACAGCAGTGACCCGCGAGGCCTCGGTTGGGTCTGTTTACAACTCCACTCCGCTGAGCCTCCAAGAACCCACGAAAGTGGTGACAATCGCGCAGTTCGCAACCCCCCCAATGACCCGCGAAGTCTCGGCTTGGTCTGTTTACCACTCCACTCCGCTGAGCCTCCCAGGAGCCCACGACAATGGCGACGGTTGGACACTTCGCAGCCCCAATGGCCCGCGAGGTCTCGGCTGGGTCTGTTTACCGCTCCACCCCGCTGAGTCTGCCAGGAGCCCACGCAAGTGGCTACGAGAGAGGCAGAATCACAACGGGGCTGCACCGCAAGCAGGACGAAAGATAGAAGGGAGGAGGAAGAGAATGAAGAGGAGACAAGAGACGGGAAATGGGAGGCAAGACGCAGGAGGGGGAGGAGGACGGAAGAGTGTAGTGGAGACCACAGTGCTCAATTCAAAACGAGAACCCGACACGGGAGCACATGAGGAGGGAGCTTGGAGGGAGGGCTGATTGCAACATCGTTGACGATCGTGGTTTTACACTGGTCCTCCTCCTCCTCCTCCTCCTCCTCCTTCTCCTCCTCCTCCTCCTCCTCCTCCTCCTCCTGGACGACTCCAACCTCGACCGCGACCTCGACGGTGTCAACGCCTCGACGACGACTGTGACGGCGACGACAACGGCTGCGTCGGCGATGGCTCCGCCCCTTCGGGTGTTTGCCGCCCCGAGGGCGCCAGTCGGAGGGTGGGTCCGAGATCTGGCGGCGGTCGAGCCCGGTCGAGTGCCACCCCGACGTCGGCCCTGGCGGCGTCTGGTCCAGCGCGCGGGGGCTGCGCTTCGGAAGCTGCGGGTTCGCCCTCGGGGGAAGGGGTGGGGCCCAGCAGGGAGGGGAGGGAGGGGAGGGTGGGGAGGGAGGGGAGGGCGGGGAGGGGGCAAGCTAGGTGCGCTCGTGTCATATCTGACGTCCTACCCCTCCTTCCCATCCCTTGCCATGGCGTAGATCTCCTCTCTATTCGTACAGTCGGATGTCGAGCAGGGCAATGATCGCGAGAGCGTACACGATGCATCGTAGAGCACGGCATGGCATGGCGTAGAAGAGCACGGCAGAGCGTAGAATGTCATAGCATGGCGTGGCACTGCGTAGTGAGGCATTGCATCACAAAGCATTGCAACGCAAAGCATGGCATCGCACAGCGGCGCAGAACACAACACCGCACAACCATTCATGGCAGGGCACCAGGTTCCTTGGAAAGTAAGGGATAGTCTTCGAAGGGTTGGGGCCGGTCTGGAGTCGCGGCTCCATGTTTAGCTCCCTGGGCTCCGCGACAAGCTCCCCACAAGGCGGGGCTGATGGAGAGCACCCGCTGGCTCTTCTTGCAACATTGCTTTCTGAAAACAGAAACGGTGCTCCCGCTTGATACTTCCTCCAAACGCCGCCGATCACTTGCGATGCTTTTTTCTGGGGGTAATTTTCAGATTTGGGGCCTATTTGGAAGGACCGAGCGGAAGCGCGGAAATGAGGCCAGCGCTGCAGCGGCATCATGATCCCGGACAAGCGGAAGGTCGAAAATGAGACCAGCGCTTCAGCGGGAGCAACTCTTTGAAAAACGAAAGAAGCGAAAACCCAGTTCCCGGGACTCCCGTGTAAAAAACAATACGCGGAGGGGGACCGAATATCGTCTGAACGTCATCAGGGGAGAGAGGAGAGTAGTACTCATATTGTGGAATTGTGGAGGGAATGGAAGAAGAAGAGGAGAATGAGGAGGAGGAGGAGGAGGAGGCGGAGGAGGAGGAGGAGGAGGAGGAATAGAGAAAGATTGGGCCGGCTGTACCCTGAAAGCAAAAGCGGGCCGCCATCACTGGAACCCGTAAGTGAGCAAGGTTCGGTGAGTGGGGAACACCCGTGACGTGGCAGGAGGGGCAAAAGAAGGTCGGGGTGGACGAGAGGGAGGGCTAGTCAAAGGACGGGTTGCGAATCAGCTGCATGCAGCTTGTTTTCCTGGCGACGAGAGCGACCACGTATCAATGAATGTGCCCGGCGGAGGGGCCGAACTGCGCGCAGCAGCTGTTGTACTCCCCCCTTTTCCCAACTGCACCCCCCCTTCGTTCTCCACGAGCGGGGGACCCAGGAGGGAGGGGAGGGAGGGCGGACGAGAGTGGAGCGAGGAGGGAGGGATGTAGGTAGGCAGGCAGGGAGGGAGGAGGAGGATGACGACGAGGACGAGGAGGAGGGAGAGGAGGGAGGACTGGGGAGGGAGGCAGGGAGGGAAGACGAGAGGGGAGCGAGGAGGGAGGGACGGATGATCCCCCATCCCTCTTCCCCCTACAGTAGAGCTTGGGTGCTCCGGCTGCTGAGCCAGTTCTCGTCACCACTTGGCGGCGAGCGAGGGGGGGGAAGTGAGAAGGATCAACAGACCCACAACTTCAGACGAGGCTGCTCTCGTGGCTCCGCAACCACAACGTGTGTAGGCCAGAAAATACCTCGTGGCCTCGTGGAGGTTGTGTCCGTGTCAAGGGTCATTGGCACATCGATACATATATTATATATATATATATATATATATATATATAATATTCCTTTTCTATATTTTTACAATCCGGGGGGGTGGGAACCCCCCCCCCCCCGGAAAATCGGACCCCCGGGATCTGGCGCTTTTGGGGCCCCCTGGACGCCTTGCAATGGGTCCCCCGGGCCTTCCGGGCCTCCTGGACGCCCCTGCCGGGCCTTGCCAGCGGGCCCAAAGCGGTCAGGAGGGCGGCCAAACGGCCCCGCGAGAGCCCCACGCGGCCCCAGACAGCCCCAAGACGCCCGAAGACGACCCAAAGAAGACCCCCAAGAGGTCCTCCAAGTGCAAAAAACAACACTTTCCTTTAGTTTTTTATTGAATTTTTGGACATTCGGTTCTTCGGTATTCCGTGCGTCCGAGTCCGCCGAAGAGGCCCCAAAAATCCTCCCACAACGGTGTCAAAGGGCTTCCAGACAGTCCAAAAGAGCTCCAATATGGTCCAACAGGGCCGCAAGATGGCCCCAAGAGAGCCCCGCTGACAGCCCCAGATGGCCCCAAGACGCCTCCCGAAGCACTCCAAATCGTGACCCGGTCGTTCAGGGAGACCGTGGTTGGTAGCAAGGTGGCCGCAAGAAGCCCCCAGAGGCCCCCAAAAGGCGCCCAGGAGGCCCCCAGAGGTCCCCAAAAAGCTTTTGAGAGGGGCCCAAGAACACCTCCAAAGAGGAGCCCCTGCAATAAAAACTGGGGATGAGGACAAGGAGTGGCTCGCAGACAAGGAAGATTACGAGTAAGAGGAGAGGAAGTATAAGGATAATACATAATATTACTATAACGACGATGGCGCAAACGGCAACAATGAATCATCGCTATATTTGGTTATCCTGCATGCCGAGCTTTAAGAACCAAGGTGCATGGCGCGAAGCGCCAATGCAGTCTTGTATATA